TCCAGATGAGCACAAACTTCAATTGGAAGAGTGATGTAACGAAATTTGAAAATCTTCACTTAAAGATAATAAAGTCTAGAACTTTCACATACATACACAGAAATTGCAATGGAAAGCAACAAGCCCTAACATAATTATGCATTCATGATTTTACTATTCATTTACCAAAAAAAAAGTATAATGATCAGATTCATTTTTTTTTTTTTTACCAACGGATAAAGGGAAGGAAGTAGTGTAGAAAGTGCTGCCGGAATAATCAAGGATGATCAGATTAGAAGATCCAGGTAGAGCATGAATCGTGTGTGGATTCAGACCAGACTTGTGACCATCGACCACTGTAGTAACCTCATACCCATCTTCTAAAACTTTCTTAGCACTCACTGTTACCAAAAACCAACGAACAAAAAATCATAAAAATTCGATTTTTAGTTACGGAAATTCAACTGAATAACAGATCTGAGAGTAGTTATATGAAAATAACACTTACCCAGATTGAAAGCGACGAACAAGAAGAGAAATAAGAACGAAATCCCCCAAGCCATGTCAAATTCCAGAAAGCGACTTTGATTTCTTACTTTAAGCTTTTAAAAGTGTCATAAAACTTGTTCAAGTGATGGGGATATCATACTAGGGTAGAATTTGGGGAACAACCAATTATCTTATACATTTCAATTACAGAAACGGCCCAAATCGGCCCAGTTTATGTGGTGAGTAAAACGTTGCCGTTTTGTGATGTAAATGAAAGTGCCATGTTATACAACGCATTTAATTTGGCAATTTGGCTTACGAAGACTGAGAGCATCGTCGTCCATCGAGATCCAAAATCCTCAGTTTCATTTTTCATCTCTCGTATTGATCAGCTCGTCGGAACTCCGGTAACGGATTTCTGCTCCACGGCTAACGGATTCTTCCTAAAGTTGCCGGCGGTGGGCTATAAGGTCCAACTCTTCAACGCCCAATCATGAATCCCTTTTCGTCCGGTACTCGTCTAAGGTAATTGGATTCTCTTCTTTCCCTTTTCCTTCGTTTCTGTTACAGGTTTCTTAGTGGTTTCTGGTTTTGATCAGCTTAGAAACGAAAATTCGATGATATATATAAGTGAAAGAAGATTGAATTCTGATTGGAGCTTTTTTGATTGGACTATGAAGATGATTTTTGTTTTAACTGTTTCTGATTTCCTTTAGAATTTTTCTGTAGTCTAAGAACATGATCAAACCATGGATTTTGGTATACTTATGTTATGATGCTGAAGTTAAGGGGACATGTGAATATGATTCAGGGACATGATCCGATCCATTAGAGCATGCAAAACAGCTGCGGAGGAGCGTGCTGTTGTAAGAAAAGAGTGTGCAGATATCCGAGCATCCATTAATGAGAATGACCCACATGATAGGCACCGGAACCTTGCGAAACTCATGTTCATACACATGCTTGGTTACCCGACGCACTTTGGGCAGATGGAGTGCTTGAAGCTAATTGCATCTCCTGGATTTCCAGAGAAGAGGATTGGTTATCTTGGGCTAATGTTGCTTCTTGATGAGAGACAAGAAGTGTTGATGCTCGTCACAAATTCATTAAAACAGTATCCTTACTACTCTTAGTATTAATATCTAGGCCTCTGCATGAATTCTTTTTCAGTGTTATTGGAAAATGATAGAACACTTTATTTTGGTTTGCATTGCTGTGATTGGAATTTAGGAGGGTAAAATATTGGTAAAATAACATTTGTGACTTTGTCCCAGTTTAACCTTAAGTCACGTGCAGAGATCTTAACCACACGAACCAGTATGTCGTAGGACTCGCACTCTGTGCTTTAGGGAATATTTGCTCAGCAGAAATGGCCCGTGATCTTGCGCCAGAAGTAGAAAGATTAATTCAGTTTCGTGACCCAAACATCCGAAAGAAGGTGAAGTGTTTTCTGGTTCCTATACTGGGTCTGCTGGAGTTTAATCGCAGTTGTTTTTGTTTCTTCATTGCTTTTACCATTTATGCAGGCGGCACTTTGCTCCACTAGAATAGTAAGGAAAGTTCCAGATCTTGCAGAAAACTTTGTAAACGCTGCTGCTTCTTTACTTAAAGAAAAGCATCATGGAGTTCTTATAACAGGAGTTCAACTTTGTTATGAATTATGCACAATAAATGATGAAGCCTTAGAATACTTCAGAAAGGTAGATCAATAAACTTCTGTAGACTACTATATTTACGCATACAGGAGCATTGGCGTATTGTAGTTTAACATGCTTCATAGAACATGGGTACATGTACCCACTATAGTTACTTGTATGATACTTCTGTGGACTATATTTCTCCTGCCATAAAATTCGTCTTTCATATGAGTTAGTTTCATACTGCGTATTCGCTTATTAGTAGATCACCGTTGAATGAGACAGACCAACAGTTCTGACAAACTTTTGTCTTTGTTTTGACTCTGCAGAAATGCACGGAGGGACTGATAAAAACTTTGAGGGATATTACTAATAGCGCATATCAGCCTGAGTATGATGTTGCAGGGATCACAGACCCTTTTCTTCACATACGGTTGCTCAGGCTTCTGCGTGTTATAGGCCACGGTGACGCTGATGCTAGTGATTTGATGACGGATATACTTGCCCAGGTTAGTCATAGTTCAGCAGGTGATTCTGGATGTGGTGTTTCATTTTCACATTTTCTATGTTATTTGTCTTGTGAAACGTAAAAAATACTCTAAGGGGGCTTTTTGTTTCACTTGTAATGAATATATTTTTTTTAGACAAATGTTCTCTCATGTGCTGGAAATGATTCTTTTCAATTATAGCATAAAGGAGAAAGAAATTTCTTTAGTTGATTGAGGGGATGGGCTATCATTCTCTTTGGTAGATACGAGACTTGTTGGGTATTGAGTTTTCTAGTACTTTTCGGCTGGGTTGAATTTTCCGTCTTTTGATGAAGGTCTTGGTTTTCTTAGCGAGTGCTGATTTGTGGCCATATAAGTCTGTAGGTTGTGCCCATCAGTTCTGTCTCACCATGATAAACAAATGCTTTTTCTTCTGATACACGCCTTGTCAGGGATCTAGTGTTGATTACATTGTTTTCCTGGTTTCTTAGTCCTTGCTGTTACGCTAAGAGAGATATTTATTCTAGTTGGTTTCATGCTATTGTAGGTGGCAACAAAAACTGAATCAAACAAAAACGCAGGAAATGCCGTACTCTATGAGTGTGTTGAAACAATTATGGCCATTGAAGACACCAGTAGCTTGCGTGTGCTTGCTATCAATATCTTGGGAAGATTCTTATCTAACCGCGACAATAATATCAGGTTCTACCCCCTTCACCTCCATTTTTTATTTGTAGCATATGTTTAATTTCGTTTTTTGTGTCTATCACCTTTGTTTGGGTCTGCTCAACTCTATGAAGCACACTGCGCTCTTGTTATCAGCCAGCGTTCCCTTTTTAATCCTAGTTTTATTACATGTTTTCTATTTCCCGTTCTCTCAGACATGTTGCATTCCTCTTTTAAAAAGGGTTGTTGGCAAATGTGGTACTTTTAAATTTTATATTCATACGCTTGTTCTCTCAGATATGTTGCATTAAACATGCTGATGAAAGCAATTGCATTCGATGATCAAGCTGTGCAAAGGCACAGAGTTACAATCTTGGAATGTGTTAAGGTATTGTTTTTAGTACTACCCGGATTATATTTATACAAGGTTAAATGTTAAGTAATAGTTGTCTTAGAGAAAGACTACATGTTAATGTTGCTTCTACTCCATCAACTATTTAGGACCCAGATGCTTCTATCCGGAAAAGAGCTCTTGAGCTTGTCTCTCTTTTGGTGAATGAGAATAATGTCAAACAACTGACAAAGGAGCTAATTGATTATTTGGAAATCAGCGATGAAGATTTTAAGGAGGATCTTAGTGCTAAAATTTGTTTCATTGTCGAAAAGTAAGTATTCTGTTTGAGAAACTGAATGACCACTTCCTCTAACCCATTTCATGCTGCAAAAAAGATGGGTTGGGCTGTGAGGAGGATGGGAAGGTTAATGTGCATGTCTAGTTGATTAAGATTTTATGATGATTTGCTAACATTTTTGATAATGTAGGTTTTCTCCTGAGAAAATATGGTACATTGATCAGATGCTGAAGGTTCTGTCGGAGGTATGGATTCAAAAGCGAGACATCTTATGGCAGTTTTTGTAATTGTTCTTTGAGAGTCTGCTTAAGCTCTTTTTAAATACGTTTTTGTATCTGGCTTAACCCTACTGTCTTCTATTCCATGTTAGTAGGCTGGAAAGTTTGTGAAAGATGATGTGTGGCATGCACTTATTGTTGTAATAAGCAATGCATCAGAGCTTCATGGATATACAGTCAGGGCATTATATAAAGCAGTGATATATTCGGAACAGGTAACTCTTATTTTTGTAATATTCGATTGTGTTCAGTCCTTAATCAGTTCTAAACTTGTAATCCTTCCTAATATGGATTTTTGAGATTTCAACCAGGAGACCCTTGTTCGAGTGGCGATATGGTGCATTGGAGAATATGGTGATCTTTTGGTTAACAATGTGGGGATGCTTGGTAATGAAGATCCAATGACGGTAAGCACCCAATCTCATTATCTACATATTTTATATGCAGGTGCTCTTGCTTTTTTGGGATTTTTTGTTGACTTCAAAAAATATGCAATGAGTAGTTGACTGCCTTTGAGCAGGTAACGGAGTGTGACGCAGTGGACGTTATTGAGGATGCCATTACTCGGCATAGCTCAGATATGACTACAAAAGCGATGGCATTGATTGCCTTACTGAAGCTGTCATCCCGCTTTCCTTCTATTTCAGAGTATGTTCAAGTTTTTTTAATCTCAATGTGCTATCTGTTTTTTTATCTCATTCATCTGAAATCTGCACTTACTTAACTTCAACTCTACACAAGATGGCTCTGCGTATATGAATAATGAATCTTTGCTGTCTATCAGAAACTGTAACGCATTACCTTCTGAAAAATGATAATACAGTATACCGGTACATCCATGTCCTCAACTGTCTTTTGGTAATTAAACAGGCTTTTTTTTTCTNAATTTCGATGGCAGGAGGATTAAAGACATAATCGTGAAGCAGAAAGGGAGCCTTCTCCTGGAGATGCAGCAGAGAGCTATTGAGTTCAATTCTATTGTTGACAGGCATAAAAATATCAGGTTATTGTTCATCTCTTCCTCATCTACCTTCTATTTTAATTTTACTTGTTCTCTCTCCCTTAAAGCTCATGAAAGTGGGGTCTGTGTATATAGGTCTTCTCTGGTTGAGAGGATGCCAGTACTGGATGAGGCTACTTTCAATGTGAGGAGGGCCGGCTCTTTTCCTGCATCAGCTTCAACAATGGCCAAGCCTTCAGTTAGTCTTCCAAATGGTGTTGAGAAACCTGCTGCACCTCCTCTTGTGGATTTGCTAGACATGGATTCTGACGATATCATGTCTGCACCTAGTTCATCTGGTGCAGATTTCCTTCAGGATCTTCTTGGTGTTGTTGACTTAGGATCATCATCAGCACAATCTGGTTAGTTCTCTACAGATTTTTCTTTCGTTTTATGGCGTACTCAGTTGTGATTTGTCTCTGAGCGAGAAATCTTTCTAAGGTATTTTCCTCTGTGGCTTTGCAAGAGGATAACTCATGTTTGATCTTTTTTCTTTATGCAACGTTTCAGGTGCAACCCAGGCTCCAAAAGCTGGCACAGATCTGTTGTTGGATATTCTATCAATTGGAACGCCTTCTCCGGCACAGAACAGCACATCGTCTATTGATTTATTATCAACAGCTGATGTTAACAAGAATCCCTCTAATGTGCTAGACGCAATTTCTTCACCAGCTCCACCTCACATAGCGACGACTGCGTCTGCTGGTATGTTTGATTTGTTAGATGGTCTTTCTCCAAGCCCATCGAAGGAAGGTAAGAAAAAAGTCTATTTAATTACTGAAGCAAAATCTATGTAATCATTGAGAAACTCTTTTACGAAGATCAATAACATAATTTTGTCCTTATTGCAGCAACCAATGGTCCAGCATATCCACCTATAGTTGCATACGAGAGCAGCTCCTTGAAGATTGAGTTCAGCTTCTCAAAGGCACCAGGGAAGCCACAAACAACAAATGTCCAAGCGACTTTTATAAATTTATCTCCTAATATTTTCACAGATTTTATCTTCCAGGCTGCTGTTCCAAAGGTCATTTCATCTAACTTCTTCCTTACCTTTTTACCCCTTATTACCCACTTTTCAATTATTTCTGTAACCTTCTCTTTATTCTGGGCAATTTCCAGTTCCTCCAGCTGCACTTGGATCCAGCTAGCGGTAACACACTCCCGGCAAGTGGTAACATCACGCAGAGTCTAAGAGTCAACAACAGCCAGCACGGGAAGGTATAAACTTTCTCTTTTCGCTATTCATCTTTATTTCTAAATGTATGTCATCAACATGAAGTGTCCCGATTTGAAGTTTAGCATTTGATGGCCCACAACTCTATCTATGCTTGAATTCAATGACTTTACACTCAAAGGGATTTAATGTTTGTGGCAGAAATCCCTTGTGATGCGCATGAGGGTTGGGTATAAGCTGAACGGAAAAGATGTATTGGAGGAAGGACAAATCAACAACTTCCCTCGCGGGTTGTGAGGCTGATTGTATTTTCTCATCAACCCGATTTTTTAGAAAATGGTCTTACCCGAGCCGTTGATGCAGCAAAAGCAGCTCTCACCTTCCAATTTTCTTTCATCCAAGTATATTTTGGCTTTGTTTGGGATTTGAGGTTCTCGGGTTTCTTTTTGTACAAAAGTTCCGATGTTTGGAATCGGAAAATGATTGAGGAAGCACACGGGTTGTCTCTTGTGTCTGAGACTTGAAAGAGATGTGATTCATAACCCATGATGTATCTCCATTTACAGCTTGGTCTTGCAAAAAAGTTTTGGATTTCAGATCATGTCTTAGCATTTTATGTAACACATTTCTCTTGCTTGAAGCCAATTCTAATTTTCTTCTAGAATCGCTTGGTATGGTGAGCATTTGGTGTAATTGGTAAATACCAAATAGTGGGTGTTCATTTGATTTTTGCTTGGATATGATTTACAAGACAACTTGTGACTTGGGAGATCATCGTGACGTGATTATTGTGAAAGGCAAATTTGGGGATATCATCGTGAGAGTTCCTCACCTACTCTGCTCTTACTGGAATGCTCTTTTGGAGAATAATAACCAATTATGGGTCATCATTATTTATCCCTACCAACAATGATTCCATCCCATTTTTGGATACTCTTTAAAAGGTCTAAAACCCCACCAAAGAAACAATATTTGACTTCTCTTCCTTTTCTAAATAGTTAATAATCTTCTTTTATTTGTACACTTTTTAAACTAATTATTAAACCTTATAAAAACTTACAACAATACACATCTTTTTTAAAATCATCAAAAGTTGATTCTCCATCTCAAAATGTCATCTACTTCAAACTTACAATCTGTGAAAAAGATTAGGTATATGTCTCAAAACCTGTGACTGTTTACGAACATAAAGTTTGATTAAAACTGGGGATTAAAAGAAACATCCCATATAACATAATCAAAAGAACAAGCTTATTCTCCCTCAACAAACAAAGAGATTCAGCTAACAGAAGACACAAAGACCACCACTAACAGTATTGTGTTAAAACAAAAATGAATCAAAAACTCAATTCAATGATCTTAATTAAATCAATAGCAGATAAATTAACTACCCTTTGATCTGTGTACCTAAACACCCTTTCTCATGGACCCTGAAATCTCCTTCCATTCAATGGAAGTCCAGTAGCAGTACCAGATGCAGCAGAACAAGCATAAGAAGAAGAACCAACCAGATTGGGATTTGGAAACTTTGATCTTTTATTAGACCATTGCCAAATCTTTGACACAGAAAAGCTCTCACCTTTACTCCTCATGTTAATCTTCTTCCCTTCAACATTACTCTCTCCTTCTTTCACATTCTTATTAGGACACAAAGCCACCACCAGATCTGATTCAGCCACTATGTACTGATAAGACCCCATTGAGAAACATCTTCTGTTATCAAGATTACTATTCATTGAACTCACACAACCACTACTCTCTCCTAATCCTCCTTCACCAACATTAACATTGGTGCTTCTAAACTTGCCAAGCCTCACTGAAAACACTCTCTTCCCACTCCTTATATCATTCTCCGCCGGTTTCTGCACCGGAGAAACCCTAGCTCCATCTTCTCCGGCGGTGGCGAAAAACCCGAAATTGAAATCCGGGTTTTCGAATTGGTGACCTATAGAGAAAAGGGTTCCTCTACAAAGCGGACATGTGGAGTTTGAGAGAAGCCATGTGTCGATACAATCGATGTGGAAAGCGTGACTACAAATCGGAAGCAATCTAAGCTTATCTTCCTCGGAGAATTCACAGAGACATACTGCGCAATCGAAAGGCTCTTTCAAGCCTTTGATTTCCTTGTAGAGAAAGACGGGAAGGGCATCGATTAAAGCTTGATCTAGACCTGAATCGTGGAGATGAAACAGCTGTTGAAGCTGTCTTTGGTAAGTTTCCGAGTCGGAAAATTCTGGGTTTCGATCAGATTGAGTCGGTGATGAAGAAAGACTCGATCTTTTCTTCTTCAAGTAATATCTGACCACTAAATGTAGAATGCTACAGATGAAGAAGATGACCGACAAGAGAACGATGATGAACAGAACGATTGGGCTTATTCGATTATTATTACCGGAAGATGATGATTGATTCACGGTAATAGGAGGAGGAGCAAATGAAGAAGAAGGTGAGATTTGGAATTGATGAAGAATCTGAGACATTTTGTGTGTGTTTCCTTCAGGTGATGAAGAACAGAGACACCATCTAACTTAGCTTCTCCTAATCAATAAAACCCCAATTTTTTCGCCAATAAAAATCTCGAATTGATTTGTGAGTCAAAATGTAGCAGGAATTTGGGAATCTGAAATGATTGCTAAACAGATTTGGAACAACCAGAGAGCTACCGTCTTTACTTAAGACATTGCAAATGGGATGAATATATTAGTTAAGGCTTTTTTAATTAAATGATTAATCACTTAAACTGAAGGAGGTCTCTTATTAGAGTCATCTACTTTTGTGTTCTTTTTTTTTTATAAAAAATGTGGAAATTGACATTTTTGGTGTGGAGCCCAATGCTGGTTTCAGGGATCTGGTGTCTTGCAGTTTCGAAGAATATGGAAAAACGTATCCAATAGCTTCCTTAATTTTCTTTATAGATTAGCCTTTTTTGTTCTTGTTATTATCCAA